ATTTTTTTTTTTTTTTTTGGCAATCTGTGTCTAAATATTATTGGATTTAATTTAAGTTGAGTATAACATAAATTTTTATTGATTTCTCATGTATGACACTCATCTCAAAATAATTTATCAATGAATTTCAGAAATTATATATAAATTCATTGATTATATATATATATATATATATGCTCATGTGCAAAATAAATTGAAAAAAAATGGGTGAGGATGACATAAAAATTTTTCCTAACTTTAAAATATAATGTTTTACTTTGTGATGTGTGTAATATGAGAGTTGATCGATTGATTATACATATAATGAACTTGTCTCAAAGCAAATTTGGGGGTTCTAAAATCTATCAAGACTAAAATTTAATCGTTATATTCTTAACTATTTTCTCTCCTTAAATAAATTAAAATAAAAGGATTATTCTAGTTCTAAAATATTTTTTCCTAATTTCAAGAAAGCAAATGAGCTTTAAGTATTGAATTTATTTTGAGATAAATACAATGAATAAAAATTAATAAATTAAATATGTCATTAATTACATTAAGTTTTCTCTCAGTATAAATTTTATAATTTGAAACTCGTTTTATTCTTAACATCTTCAGTCTTTTTTTTTTTTTTTTTCCCAAAGGATAAAGTGATCTTCCTTATCTGTGTTCTTTGTTGAACAGTGTCGGTGGTAATCCCAAAGCGTGAAGATGCAAATTTCAGGACTTTAATTGGTCAAATTGATGGCAGAACCAATCTTTACAAGAGCAATGCCTTGATCCAATATTATCCCTTTATGGAAGCTTTCTCTGATCTTAGCGACTTAAATTTGCTGGATCTCACCATGATGTCTTCCAAGATAGCCTATGAAAATGCTGCTTTTATCAAGAATGTCGTCAATAATGTTTGGAAGGTATTCATTTCTATGTGCATCAAATCTCTATATTCAATACTTCTTAATTATTTTACTATATATATGGGATCATAAAATTCCAATTGGAAAATTTATCTTTCCTATAAATTTTAGTTATAATCAAGTTCTTAATTAGTGCTAGTAATGAAGATTAATACAACATCAAGTCTTTGTCCCACTATGTAGGGTCGGCTGGATGAATCATTTTCTCGTGTAAACCTAATAAAGAAATATCTTTTCTAATATTTTCTAACCAAGACTTTTTAGGTTTACCTTTACCTTTCTTAACGTAAGTCAAATCTAATATCTTTACTTTCCTAACGGGGTCAGAAGGCCGCAATTTTATGTGACCAAACCATCTAAGGCGACTCTATCTAATCTTATCTTCCACTGGCACTACTTAAACCTTTTCACATACATGCTCATTTCGTATCCTATCTCTAAGGGTAAAGCCACTCATCCACATGTTGTTTTATAAAATTAAAGAATTATCCTGCAACTCATAACTTTGTATTATGCTTCTCTTTTAATGGCCAACATTCGGCACCATAAAACATTGCAGGTCTCACCACCATGCATCTTATAAAATTTTCCCTTAAGCTTGCATGATGGGGACTTTTCTATCACACAACAAGCCTGATGCATTACTCCACTTCAACCATCCAACTTGAATTCTGGTGATAATATTCCCATATATTTCACCATCACACTAAACAATAGATCCAAAATATCTAAAACATGCACTCTTATTAATACATATATAGATTTGCTGATGATAAATTAAGTTTATTTTGCATAATTTGTTAATTGTAGCAAGCATGTATTCTAATGAATCTCTATAAAGCCTCTCCAAATTATATATTTTTATTTTTGTACTGACAGTTTGCTTGATTTTATTTCTATGGATGCAGATGCACTTTGTCGGGTTCTACAATTGCTGGAACAGTAAGTACATCAATATATATCTCAGACTAATTTTGTATAAAAATATAAGATGATTATTATTGTTTGATTTGAACATAAATAGTTGCAATCCATCGTTGCAGAATTCTTGAACGATCACACAACACAAGCTTTCATATTCTGCAACAAAGAAACCGACGCTGACTTGATTGTTCTTGCCTTCCGAGGAACCGAACCCTTCAATGCCAACGACTGGTCCACTGACGTTGACCTCTCCTGGCTCTTAGCCAATAAACTGGGAAACATCCATTTAGGTTTTCTGAAAGCTCTCGGCCTCCAAAATGAGAAAAGCTTCCTTCTTGGTTTTCCAACAAACTTCAATAGCACAACAGACAAACCAATCGCCTATTACACCATTAGAGAGCAGCTCGCAAGCTTGCTCAAAGTTCACAAGAATGCAAAGATCGTTGTGACTGGACACAGCCTGGGTGGTGCACTTGCAGCTCTTTTTCCTGCTTTGTTAAGTTATCACAATCAAAGCAATATTTTGAGCTCGTTGTATGGCACGTTCACTTACGGGCAGCCAAGAGTGGGGGATCAGATTTTTGTAGCTTATGTGAAAGCTATAATCAAGGCTAAGTCTTACAGAATGGTTTACAGGTATGATGTGGTTCCTAGGATTCCATTCGACGCCCCACCGGTTGCTTTGTTCAAGCATTTTGGTACTTGCGTTTACTACAAGAGTTGGTATAAGGCAGAGGTACGTGATTATTCATAAATATTTGATTAACAAACAAAATTAAGCCTTAATTTGTCCCATTACGTGGAGTCGGCGACATGAATCCTTTTTCATCATTAATTGTGTCATGTTAAAAGTCAAATTCTCATTTAAATCTAATAAGAAAGATCATTTCTAATGCCTCAACTTTCATAAGGCCTCCGTTTAATGTGACCAAACCATCTAAGGAGATTCTCTCTAATCTTATCTTCCACTGAAGCTACTCCAACCTTTTCGCGTATATGCTCATTTCATAAATATTTGATATTTATATACAAAAGAACACTGCATGCATGCATGCTTTTGACAGAACTATAGAAATTTTCTAACAAATAAGTTTGCGCAGATGGATTTCCCTTTCAGTAAATCCTGACATGAATGAATTTTGTTTTGTTACGTATGAAAATGAACAGATAATGGACGATGCTCCTAATCCGAACTACTTCGATCCTCTGTTCGTGGTTTCAATGTACCTAAGTGCTTGGGGTGACCTTCTGAAAGCTCTATTCATCAGATGGACGCAAGGGAAGGAATACAAAGAAGGAACCATCTCAATACTCTACAGATGCCTTGGGCTAATAATACCTGGCATTGCCTCCCACAGCCCAAGAGACTATGTCAATGGAGGAAGACTAGCAAAGATGGCTCAGAAGTTTATGGTTTGATTTTGATCTGAATCTATCTATAAAGTTGGAAACTTTTTTATGTATGTTGGTGCTTGGTGTAGCTAGCTAAGCGTTAGGGGCTTTGCCTCCTTATCTTAAAGTGAATTGAAGTAGCTAATTAAGGACTTTGCTCGTATGGATGTTTTAAATGGCAGGAATAATATATGTATCCTTTGATTGAAACTTCTTATTTGTTGCTTTTGATGGTAATTTGTCTTTGAAATATTCTCGATGAAGAAGACTTTTTTTTTAGGCTTGCATGCGGATTTCAGTTAAATCGGGCCAAAGTCTGGTGTGATTAAATCCACCATGTAAGGAAAGATGGAGAAAGGGGATGACACCAGAATGGAGGGGCTCGGCGATTAACGTCGACGATCCAGTGACGGTTGTTGGACACCACGCTAAGAACTCCTTGGAGCAAGAACCCACCACCTAATAAATAACAAATCTTAGGATACAGGAAATCACAAGAGAATAAAACTCTAATTTTATTAATTTCCAAATCAAGTAAAGGCTACTTATTTATAGACAAATGTAGCCCGTAATAAGCTATACACAAAACAAGAGAGCACTAATCCTATGTAGACATATAAGCTACCAAATGAAATAAAACTAGCCTGAAGTTATCATGAATAAGCGGCTGCGTCATGAGGCTTAAAGATTCGGGATTTAAAGTTATCATTTTGATCATTTGGCAGAATTTGGGTAAATCCTGCAACCAAACAGCACCTAGGAGTCTGAAAAAAAAGCCTTAAAGAAGGTCAACAAATTAATTTTATGAAGATCAGTACCAAACAATTAATTTAAGGAGATTTTCTAAGACTTCTACAATATGATCAATGTTAAGAGTTAAGACCCTTAAAATTAAATTTTCAAAAAAATTAAAAAAGATGTAAATCATAATTATTTTCTAATATTCGAAACCAAACCAATACATTTCCTTGTGTTTTAACTAGTTCAGTTAATGTTATTCAAAAGCTTAATGGAATTATGATTTGCTTACCTCAACCATTAGGAGAATGGGATGAGGAGGGCTATGACTTTATTTGGGATGACTTTTTTAATGTTTCTTAAAGCAACTTTTTAATTTTTGTACTAAAAAGTTATTTTAAGAAGCATTAAAACGTTATCACAAACAAAGCCTATGTGATGATGAGCATTCATTGTGCCACTTTTTATTGTCCTTCTTTACCATAATGAAGCCAAAGTAGATGGATATCTAGTCATATGATCATTTGGTAGTCATATCATGTGGAGTCAAATTAAGTTTGTTTTTTTTAAGACATTTAGGTCGATTAAGTCAAATTCACACACATATCACATACACAAGACTCGAATTCAATACCTCTTAATTGAATGCGAAAGCTCCCAATCAATAGATTAAGATGAGCTCCATCATGTGGACTGTTTAGTCTTAGCTTGTTCTATTTGGTTCGATTGGTTCATTATAAAAAATTTAAAATTTTGGGCAGAACCAAAAATTATTATTAATGAGAACACAAATTGATAATTTTTAGCATACTCCTTTTTTTTTTTGGTGATTTCTTTTGCCTTTTTGTTTAATAATTTATAATAAAATAATATTTTTAGCTTTCTATCAATATTAATGAGAATGCAATTTATTACTCGTAAATTTTTATCACATACGAAATTTTATACTAAAATTTCTCTCTCTCTCTCTTTGTTTTTTTTTAGCTGAAGTTGTAAGTAACATTTAAAGGCACTCTCATATACTTTTGTAGGATTTAATAATAATTTAACTAAAAAACAGTGGACCCTTAAAACATGAATTAACTCTAGCTTGATGGATAAGCTTCAGGGATGTGGAAGTTAAGAGGCAGGTTCAAATCTTAGACAAAATAATTTTTATTTATTTATAGGTAGTATTTATATTTAAAATAAATTGATATAGACTTTTTAATTGATAGGCCAGTGGAGGCCCGTGCTTTTGGAACAATTATTAGGTCAGGTCAGGTGACCTGACGTAGCTCTACGTTCGGACGCCAATAACATATCGCCACGTGGTCTTACTCAATACCGCGCGGCCCGATGACTTGACCCGGGATTGCTATGTTCGCGTATTGCTTGGTATTGCTCTAGGTATTGCTCGGTATTGCTAGGTATTGCTCGGTATTGCTTGACAATAACGAAAAATATCGTTTTGTGAAGACCAATACCAAGCAATATCGAGAAATGTATTACTCGGTATTGCTCGGTATTGGTTTTCACTGAATGGTATTTCTCGTTATTGCCGAGCAAAATCGACCAATATCGAACAAATATCGAGCAAATACCGAGCAATACCTAGCAACACGTTAACATATAAATCTCGTCTCCGTTTCGGGTCAGGGTTGTCGGGCCGCGCGGTAAATAGTGAGAACACGTGACACTATTTTACTGGTGTTCGAACGTAGAGCTACGTCAGGCGACCAGACCAAATAAAAGTTCGTGCTTTTGAGGCCAATTTTGATGATTTATTTTTCTATGTAAATGAAACATATATATCAATATGTTTATTTATTTTTTATGAATCAATTATACAATAATAAAAATATTATTTTCTTAAGAGTAATGAAAATTTTATATTTATGAATCAATTATTCAGAAACATCATTAAGATACTCTAGGAATAACATTTTTTTTATAACAAGATTAGAACTCTTCTTATTAATTGTTTGTTTAAATATATATTATCATGACTACTTTGAATTGGGCCGACTAACACGTAGGCCCATTTAGCTCCAATTAGAGGTTTTTATGAGTATTAACAAATGCCGGCCTTAACACAAATGGCCTTGTTATTATTATTATTATTATTATTATTATTTTTAGGATAAACCCACAGAGGGGCCTACGTATTAATATTAAAATTCAGTTACAACGTCCTTAAAAGGACCCACCAGCTCGCTACTGCTCCGAAGAGCTACAATCAAAAAGGAAATAAAAACACCTAAGAGCCGGTAGTTCCTTGTCCTAAGCTTACAAAAATAACAATAAGAAAAACACAGGCTGTGAGTAAACATCACCCAAAAAAGGAAGATCCACTTTAATTCTTTCAGCTCATACTTCCTTCAAAAAGGCACATAGAAATAGGAATATAAATGCGAAAAATAAAAGAAGAGAACCTTGTAGTCTTTATAGCTCCCACAACCCCAGATGATTAGAAAACTGCAATAAATTCTCCAAAAAAATAGAAGCTTTAGAAGACAAACAACTAATATAGTAAATATATATGGCTTTCAGAATTTTGTAACCACCCAGACAGAGAACCCGGTCAACCAACTCCCGCAGAAAAATTAATTTAAGAAAGTACTTCCAGTTTAAAAATTTGCCCGGCCTATAGATAACAACATTAATCGTAAAATGCGAACCAACGTTCAAGTACTAAGCCATATTCCAGCCATACCAATTCCTAACACAATAATCCTTCATATCAAACCACACAGAACCAAAACCAACGAGATACTTCCAGAATTCAGGAAACCAGTTACACTTCAGCCTCCAGCACATCACATAAAAATGCAGGCAGCAGAAATAAGAACCCAACAAAGTCACCAATCTCCAGCAAAAACAACCTGCACCTTCCTAACATGATAGCAGACAATAGCAGAAAAACAATACATCAACAACCTCCATCTCTTCCAGATACACACCCACAGGTAAAGAACAACCCAGAAATAAACCTTCCCAGCAACGAACTGGCCAAGCAACGCCAGCTCCAGCAAAAAGAAATCACCCCGACCCAGCTCACAGATATCAACCCAAAACATAGTGTTAAATATGTCGAATGTAAGGTAATCCAATTTTATCAAGATTAATCATACCTTTTAGAGGAACCGGCAGATCAAACACAGGATGGTCCAGTAAAATATCACTATTATATCCAAAGTTAGCAAGCCAATCCGCACAAGCATTCCCCTCACGATAAATATGGGAAATAGTAAAATTGAGCAAAGAAAGAACCATCTTAATTTTCCTGATAGTGTAAAAATTATGGGGAAAACAAACATCTTTCTCGGTAATAATATAAATAACAAGAGTTGAATCAACCTCAATATTCACATTATATAACCCCATATTTAAGCATAATTGTAAGCCATGATCCAAAGCCAATAATTCAGAAGTCAAAACATCGCAAAAAGACAGAGGACCAGAGAAAACTGCAATGGGGTTACCAAGATGATTCCTTATAATGCCACCCATACTAGCTTTACTAATTTTCACAAACCCATCAGTGTTTAATTTAACAAAGGGTTCAGTGGGTTTAGCCCAAATCACAAAACAATTTATGTTACTGTTAATAATACTATTCTGAATCCCAAAGTGCACCGCCAGAAGTTTGCTATTATGGAAGTTTTTAAAAGAAAGAAGATTCACAGCAACAAGCTGTAGAATTTTGTTCCTAATTTTAGAAATAATGAGATTCGCATTCATTTTAATACCCAAATGTTTGTAATCATTTCTACCTTTCCAAAGATACCAAATAATAACAATAGGAAGAACATTATGAATATGACCTTTGCAATCATTAAACCAAATCTTGAGAATACCAGTCAAATCATAATCATCATTGAAAGCACCAATACCCATAAGATTAAAATAATGAGACCAAACGATACTAGCAATAGACCCATTAACAAAAACATGTTGCAAGCTCTCAATGTTGAAACAACATTAACATTTAGAGACAATACAAAAACCTTTTTTTCCAAAGAATGTTATCAATAGGAGACAACAAGAAACAAAGCAGGAAAGGAAAAAGACAATCAGACATAAGGCATTCCAGTAGCATCGAGAAGAACATTGCCTTTAAGAAATTGAGGGGCAGTTGCCAAAACAAAAAACTTAGGTTTAATACTTAGAGACCCATTTTTAGCTAGCCACTCAGAAAGGGTATTATTGGCCATGTTGATGGAAGAAATTCTATACACAAACTTTTGAAGCATAGCCTTGGTGTTCTGAAGAATATAGAAGTTGTTCAAATTCACACACTTGTTCAGCTTGATAGTATCAATAACCACATCACTTTCCACTTCAATCACAACATAATGAAAATTTAAAGATCAACATTCCTCCAAACCTTTAGAAATTCCATAAATATTGCACCAACCACATGTCCACATCAAGGATTGAATAAGAGAAACCAAAGTCCAGGATTAACCTGCCATCAAAATCCCTTATCAGACCACC